CACCACTCGGACGTGTGTATGCAGGTATTTCCAAGATGAAATCATGTTAGCATTTGCTCATCTGGGTGGTGAGTACACGGGTCTTTGTTACAATATCTTCTGCTTTGTTTTTTGTTTGTTTGTTTGTTTGTTTGTTTTGGCCAAAATAAAGATTTGAAAGGCCTCTATATAAATTTTTTTTAAAAAGGAAACTGTCTCTGGGCTCAGCCTTGGTCCCCAGCCCAGACCTTCCCCTAGATCAGCGGTTCTCAACCTTCCTAATGTCGCGACCCTTTAATACAGTTCCTCATGTTGTGGTGACCCCCAACCATAAAATTATTTTCGTTGCTACTCTATAACTGTAATTTTGTTATTGTTATGAATCGTAACGTAAATATCTTTTTGTTTTCCGATGCTCTTAGGCGACCCCTGTGAAAGGGTCGTTCGACCCCCAAAGGGGTTGCGACCCACAGGTTGAGAACCGCTGCCCTAGAGCACCAAACCCTCACCCAGTTGGCTGCCGGACCTTTACACCTGAACTCTTCAAACACCGAACACCTAAGACGCACCTTCTTTCCCCTGCCCCCTCCTGCCCCCCCATATCCTCTTTCTGGATGTGATCACCACACATACCCTTCTCTGCCTGAAACTTTACAGTGATTCCCAATATTCTCTGACAACTTAAAGGGGGGAAAAAAAAGTAGGGAAACCCTTCCTTCAAACAATCAAGCAATTTCTGCAGTGGCTCAAACAACCTGGACACAAGCAGAACAGGGACAGAGCAGGACAGGGCTGGGCGCCTCTCCATTGGGGACCAGGTCTCTGCGGGAGCCTCGGAAACAACTGGAAAATTCGGGTAGCAAAACAAAATTAAAGTTCCTGAAGAGGCCGATTCCAAGTCCTTCTCCGTGTTCCCACATCTGCCGCTCTGGGCTGGAGCTGGGTTTCTAGACCACCAAAGTGCTGCCGTCTTCACACAGCCAGTGGACCTTGCCTCTGCCCGCCAGCCTCAGAGAGCAGCATTCCAGCACCTCCATGCATCCACACACATCCACAAAACCTCCACCTTTCCTCGCTGGGTCCCACTGTAGCACATACGTCTTGAGCTTCGCCTCTGTAACCAGAACAATGTTTCTGCTCCCAGCTCTAACACAGCAGAGGGCCAAACGCCCAAGTAACCAAGGCCCTCCGATGGCTCCCAACACCCAACTTCTGCACAGACATCTAGCCTGCCTCCTGCGGCTGCTCTCTCCAACAAATTCAGCAACAATATAACTCTTCTGTTACTCCCACGTCTGACATTTTTATTATCTTTCTAGCTCCTGCCTCTGCAAAGGTTCTGACAGCGCCAATCTGAGAGCTGCCGTGCCTTCTGACAGCAAATGAAATCCCACTAAAACTGACTCCAATTCCCCTCTCTGTTAACAATGGCAGGTTAAATGGCTCCGACGACGAAATGTTGCTGCCGGATTTAAATGCCAAAGCACGAGGGGCAAGGTCAGCCTTCAGAGGCGCAGCACTTACCAAGGTTAAAACCTAATCTGCTCTGAAAAATAAGAAAGTTCATTTTATCAATTCGGCATAGAATGATCAAGGCCCGGGACACTCACAATAATAAAATTCACAAAAGTCTGATCTGTCCTGAAGACTGCCAATTGCTACAGACTGAACTGTGTCCCCTCAAAACTCATATGTAGAAGCTCTGACCACCCCATGTGACTGTGTGTGGAGGTAAGGCCTCTAAGGAGGTAATAAGGTTGAATGAGGCCAAGAGGGTGGGGTCTTAATCCCACAGGACTGGTGTCCTTATAAGAAGAGGGAGTGACACCAGAGACGGTTCTCTCGGCCATGGACACAGAAAGGGCCACACGAGGACACAGTGAGAAGCCACCATCTGCAGGCCAAGGAGAGAGGCTCGCCAGGAACCACTACTGATGGCACCTTATCTTGGACTAGGAGCTTCCACTCTGTGATAAATAAATTCCTGTCATTTAAGACATGCAGGCTGTGGTATTTTGTCATGGCAGCCCCCCAGCAAGCTAAGACACCAAATTATGAGCTTCAAATGAGGACGCAGCACACCAATCATGCCGACTGCCGAGGACACCCCATCCGTCACAGCATCAAAGTACTCAGACCTAGAAAAGCATCATCAGTTACCAGCAAACAGGAGCTGGAACGAGGTGACGTGGATGTTCTCGAGGGGCCTGGGGACAGTTTCTAGTGATCTGAATCCCCGTGTCCCCCCTTGAATAAATACTACCCGAGCTCCTTCCTGCCCTCCAGCTCTCCCAAGCCGTGCGTGTCCCCTGCTGGTCACGAGAGTGACATTACCACGTCGCTGGCCCCATCCCAGCGTGCGAGGTCTAAGGCCACTTATCTGACCAGAGCTACATTCCAGAGGCAGAGTTGCACTTCTCTTGATGGACATACCCACTCTTCGGTCAACTGTCTCCAAACAACCCAGAATTTAAATAGTTTCAGAGAAGAATTCTACCCTTTAAACAACTGACCTGACCCTCGAGACTCCTGTGAGAAAATGTGAGCACCTTTCTTCTTTTTAGTTTATCATTCTCTACTGACTAAAATTTAAACAAAAACAGAACACTTCTGAATGCAATAAAACAGTCATCAGGCCTCTCATTTCAAATAAATTAAAAAGTCTTTCAACAGAGGGAATAGTGAGTACAATGGCTATTCAGCCCACAAGGTTGCTAAGCCGATAAAACCTGTACTTACTAAGAAATTACAGATTAACCTAAAAGAACCCGGTGTGCTTCTTCTAAATAGCTCAGTAAATAGCTATGAGTAAATGAAAGGGCCCTACTAGCCACACTCACTGAAACCCCAGTGACAGTGACAAAGGGCTGTGACAGGAAGGACTAAGAAGGACCAGAAGGTTGAGGGGTTTTCAGGTCACAGCCACAGCTGATAGCAATACCCAGGTACTAAGTATCGAAATAAACAACCCTCCCCAGTATCCAGAACAATCTCCTAGCAGAAGATGGCAAGTAAATTAATACACCTTGAAAAACAATTAGAATGCTTAGAACAATTCTGAGAAACAGCCCTTTATAAACCCGCGGGGGGAGCTTTACTTACATGAAGGAATAATGAACTGGGGCTCAGTGTTGCCTGCGTAGCCAAGCTTGGTGTACCTAAAAGCACAAAGTCATCAACACATGTTTAGACAATGATACTCTCTCCTAGGTCCCATTAATGTCTGTTATTATAAGCTCTCCAACTCCTAAAATATCCAGCCTCAAAATACTCTCTTGAAATTAAAAAAAAAAAAAAAATTGTGATGACCGAGAATCAAACACTAATTTTGGATAAGCAAGCAGTTACAAAAACGTAAAATATTATGCTTGTTTCTATTGGAAAAATTCTTGTACACATACATGAACACATAAATTACATTTGTGTATCCCTCATAAGTTTACAAGTGCTTTTACACTCTTAATTTTTACAAAAACCTTGTGAAGAAAGCAAATATTATCCCTGTTTTGCCAATGAGAAAGCTGAGGCACTGAGAAAATTAAGCTGCCCAAAGCCCAGCAGCGAGTGAGCAGAAAAAAGACCCAAATCTGAACATGCAGGTGCTACTTCCAGAGCCGGCTCTCAAAGAAGTGCATCCTTCCCGACTGCATGAACTTCTAGGGGGTTAGAAAATGATTACATAATTTTCTTAAAATGTCATGGCATATGTCTAGAAACAGCTACTGCCACCGCCTGAGAGCATCTGACAGAAGCATGTCTTTATCGTCTTGTTTCAGAATGAGCCCATTTTCTGTCAAGAACTCTGTGATAGATTCCAAAAGTTTTAACTGAAGTGAATGCCAAAATACTACTATCTGTTCCAAAATCGACTGCTAATCTCCTAGATTTAAAAAAGAAGGGTGGGGTACCGCCGCTCGGAACCATCTGCTGGAAATGAGAGGTTGAGAATAGTCGGCCTGCCACAATGGAGGGGAGAGTCTGGACTACGATGCTTATGATAAACAAACACATTTGCTAGCCGCGTTGAAAGTCACTTGATCAATTCGTCCCGTTTTACACATTCTTTCAAGATGCTTGATCCTAATTTTTTTTAATGTGATAGCACATTCCAAATTCTAATAAATTAATTTTATAATTTTACATGTATTTTACCACGTGCTAACTTTACTATTTTTTAACACACAGTGAACGAATGGGATTCGGGAAGACAAAAAAAGCCAGCCAGCTCCACTGAGATCACAGCTTGCTGCTCGGCCTCCAGGGATCCAAGGTCTTGGTGCCACAAGAGCTGGGGCCAGCCAGGCTCTGAGACCCGTGGGGCCCACAGAGAGAGAGAGCTTCTAAACAGCAAGGCCCAGCTGAGGGCCCTCCCACGTTCCACAAATCACCAAATTACGAGCGCACCCACAAGTTCCCCACTCTGGGACTCACCAGACCCACAGGGAGGCTCAAAGCCAACCCAGAGCCTGGGGGCTTTCCAGGAGGAAGACAACAGCATACTGAACTTTACAAATTCCAGATCGTCCCCAATTCAGTCACCTTCTGGAGTCTATTCCAGACAACAAATATAAATAAACCGAATTACTGACCCAAGGCTAAAGAAGGTTACAGGATCCAACAGCAGGCCAGCAATCACTCAAACCATCACATCTCACTCAGTCTGTGCTTTCAACAGGACACATGGCCCACTAACCCTCCCCCGCAAAAAAAATTATGCATCCTGCATTTAAATAAATCCGCCTTCCCGCGTGGTGAAGGTTCTGAGGTGCATGATGACCAGACCGCAGTCCATTTCCTTGGCCGTACCTCTGCCCATGTTGCGCGGGACGTGGAAACTCGGGAAGTACCTGCCAAATGAGCTCTCACCACGCGTGAGAAAGGGTCACCCCGTCAGACCGCTGCGGAAAGGCCAGGGTTTAAAGGCGGGTGCTGAAAAACACCTCGATGGGACCACCAAAGACACTGCCTAATACTACCTCTCACAGATAAAAAAACACTTGTTTTTGTGTTATGGAGTTATTCTTTAAAAACCTGAAAAAAATATAATAAAATGTTAACATTTATTAAAATTAGGTGCTAATATCATTCTTGTCTGTTGTATTACTTCTTGTATTTCTGAAAGGAAGTAGAGTGTATTGTATTGGTTAAGACCATGGACTCTGGAACCAGGCTGCCTGGGTTCGAACCCCAGCTTGCTATCTATGTTCTTTCTAGTTGTTAATTTTTATTATTATTTTCTGTATGCTTGAAATATTTGCTCATTGAAATTTCTGAAAAAAACTGTAAAGTAAGCTCTGTGCCCCAAGCCATGTTAGTCTTTCTGCTGCGCCCCACTCTGGACGCCACAGACGTATGCATGTTGTGGTGACAGAAATGAAATGCACACTCGGCATCCCTCAATGACTGGGCCTCTTCTCTGTCCCCAAGTTTTGCATCCTGAAATCAGACACTGGCCCAGAGCAGCAAAGGGTCAGGCTGCAGAAATGGGCTAGGGCACTCTTGGGCCCACAGCTCTAAAATTCAACTCAATACTAATGGTGCCACTTGGCAACAGTCGCTAGGATGTTCAGAACGTGAGGCACAACGTTCTCGTGTCATGTGGGCACTTCAGCGGCAAGAACATTAAACAATGATTTTCATGACTGAGGCAAACTGACATTAACATATATTAACATTCTTATGTATTAACAACTTACTGTGAGATCTTCTCTTACCATCCTAGTGAAACTAAAATCATTAAAAACACTGGCAAAACCACAAACTATTCTGATCAGTTTATGGTAATTAAATATCTTTAAAATTTCCTGTGCTATTCCTTAAGTAGCATCAAATACACATAAAGTTTTGTTGCTTTGAATAATCACAACACAATGAACATTTAACAAAAATTTTTAAAATGAAACATTCAAATTTTAAATTTTTATAAAATCTTCATCAACAAGGCTAACTCACACTTGAGTGAGAACTTATGAAATACGACACTGTAAATGGAACCTGCCCAGAACTGGTCCCGGCAACCTCTCCTAGGACAACCCAATGCTAGACTGGGGCCCTATTAGAGACCATCTTAGAACAAAACTGCTCAACTACATAAAGAACAGAATGTAAAAGAAACAAGTAAAACACAAGTCTTAAAGGTGGAAAGTGTTCAAGGCACCACTTATGGAAACAAAGAAGCATTGCTCTATTCCAACCAGTTTACTAGCTAAAAACTAAGTAACAGGCACACTATGAGGGTACTGGGCCCAAGGGGGTAGGGGATGGGCCTAGGACTCAAAGTGTTTCACAAAATGTTTATCTATTAGAGACATGATTTCAGATTGAGTTTTTCATTGTAACATGGCCTACTTTATCTGGCAGGCTAGTTTAAGATCATCTGGGTAGGCGTCTAGAAATAACGTACCAAGCCTGGCTGATTGGATCACCTGGGAAGCTTCTAACAGAGATTCCCAGGACCTTTCCCGGAGTCACAGAGGAGCCTGGGCATCTGCATTTTAAACATCTCTGTCCCTCCCCCCTTGGTTCTGATGGCCAACCAGCTTAGGAATCACTGACTAAACTGTACCACAGGCAATCATCTTAAAATTTTTTATGTAATGAGAGTTCCCCACCTTCATGTTCACATTCTAAACAAATCATCTACCACCTACCACGTTATCAAGTAAAATGTACCTATAATGTTGAAGTTTAATACTGGTCAGAGCTCAGAAGGAAGGACTCAAATGTACCAATTCTGTTTTCTTTAGAATATTATGCTTCGATATTCTATGAAAAAAAACGTAGTAAATGCTTTTCAACTCAACCTTTATGTAATTAAACTGTGGTGAAAAGAAATCCAGGCTCAATCTACTGGTGAAAAAAAAGCAACAGGCTCAAAATAGAAACATTTAATCCTTAGGAAGAGATGGGGGGGGGGTTCCCTCAAACCAAAAGATAATGGAAAACTAGAATCATCCCTATTAAAGCCAGAATTAAGCCAAGGAGACCCAGTATCATTACTCCTGTCATCTAACACTGTTTTGGAAGAAGTAGATAATACAAATCACAAACTAAATAAAAGGAATAATACTGGGAAGGAGGAGACAAAAATTTATTTGTAAATCATGATTATACACCTGGAATACCTAAGGAAATTAAATGAAAGACTGAAAGCAATAGGAATTCAGTAAGATGACCAGTTACTAAATGAAGAGACGAAAGCCAACAACTTTCCGACCTGAACAACAAGAACACACACTGGATGAAAAGATCCCACTCACAGCGGCAACATGAAATGATACCGCCCCTAAGAACAAACTGCAGATGCATGTGAGGAACTCTCCATAGACAGGCAGGCAAGTAAACAGAGACACACCTTACTCACACAGGAAGAGTCAGTCTTCTAAAAGATACATCAAATATCACTAAATCCACCTACAAATTTAACGCCAAACACTCAAAATCTGGGCCAATACTGAAGAAGATGGTAGAAAATTATACACGGGTGTTAGTAAAGGTTGAAGAGTCATTATAAAGCAAAGTTTCACATTGTCACAATTTTATTGCTTATACCCTATGGTTCAAATAGTTTAAAGGCATTAAACCCTATGGTCTAACTAGCACATTCCTAAGAATATACCCCACAGCAGCATGTTTACATATATGCAAAGATATGCACAAAAATGTCCACTACAGCATTATAACAGTAAAATGACAAAATACTGGAAACACTCAAATGTCATCAATAAAGGATATAGTAAATAAATTACATTATAATCATGCAGAAAATGCTATACAACCATAAAAAATGAAGCAGGTTTATGTTACTGCCACATACAGATGTATAATTTAGTTTGAAAGTAGCTGCAGAACAGTATATTTATAATGTGAGGGGGGCTGATGGGCCCACACTGTTGGGTTCAAAACACAGCACCAGCCAGGCGACGTCAGGCCAGTAAAGCAATCCCTCCACACTTCCGTTTTTACATCTGTAAAAGGCAAAGAATAACAATCCCTGCCTCAGTGTTAATATTACCATTTCTGGACAATATTTCCTAATTCAAAAAGTCAAAGGCTCTCATTATTCAATAATTTTATTTAGTTTATCAGCAAATGTTATTTGCCGTGTACTGGCAATCTGTACTTCTTCCATGAATTGCCCTTAGATAATTTTTCTACTAGAGTTTTAGTATCTAATCAATTTGTGTGAACACTCACATACTGAGGACATTAATACGTGCTCACACACAGTGCTAATTTTTCCCCGTTGGTTGTTTATCTTCAGTTATATGTTTCTGAAATATAATTGTTTAAACAGGTTAGGTGATCAAATCTACCAATTATTTTCCTGAATATTTCCTGAATAGTTTCTACTTGAAGTCCCTAGCTATACTAAAATTTCATATTCTCTTCCAGTTCTGTGTGTACCTGATATACGTGTACATAAGGAATCAAGACCAGTAACTTTTACATTAAAAGCCCCTGGTTTCTCTTTTATTTATTTGAACACTATCTCCTAAACGGATGGTGGGCGCAGGCCTCATTCCCAAAAGTACATTAACTATATGTACAGATTCCAGCCACGTTCTCAACTCAATGCCACCTTCCATGCATCCCTGAGACCTTTTCTCATATGGAAATCAGGACAGATACGGAAACAGAATCGGTAGCTGCATAAAGCAATAAAAATAGTTACAAGTCTACCTCTCAAACAAATGTGTTCTCATAGTTGAAACTTCCAAACACTATAAAAAGGTACCCAGTAAGAAATCTCAATCCCATTCCTATACCCATCCAGCCTTCTACCCTCCTCCTGTTCTTGCGTATCTACCAATGTCTCTTTCTGTAAATACAGTAGATCCATATGTGCCCCAAACATTTTAAAGTCCTTGTACAAAGCCGTGTTTGCTCTTGTGAAATGCCACCACTTTCCACAGCAGTAACTTTCCACAGTCAGGAGAATTCGCCTGACTACTGTCGACTCCACATACTTACATATAATTGAAATTCCTCCTACAACCATTTGGCTAGAGCAGAAGGTGGCAATCTAAGCGCAATTAATTTATGTCTGAAAGTGGAAATGTCACATCGTAGAACAGTGTTTGTCAAACCGTGTTACCGCAGAAAGTTTCTCTTGATTAAGACCCTTATGAGGTCCGGTCTCAAACCCCAAACTTCAACCAGAACAGCTCCCCTCCCTCCTAAGAGTTTCTCAGTTAATACATGAATGAATAAATGTGACTACAACTGCCAGAGAATATGGTTTTGATAAAACTAAACTAAAACTGTTCCAAGATCCTAATGATAGGTTTCTAAATAATACACGCTCCCCACACGGTACACTGTAAATTAACATATGATCAAGTTCCTCAAACATTGCTTGGGTTGTTGAATAGAAAACGGTGGTCTCTGTTCGTTGGACACGGAGTTCATTATGCATGTTCGAGTTTATTATTTTACCTAATCCAGCATCCTGGTGTCTATCTGATTTGTAAGTTTAATACCACCTACTACACTTGTCCATGTCACCTTCTACGGGCAGCACTTTTTGCTCTCTGTTTGGTAACTATAAGATCACGAGGTATGTATGGCCTCTGCGGATTTTGAGCATTACCAAGTGAATTCTGACTTCCAAGTTAAAATGATGGACTAAATTAAACATCTAATGTCACTCTGTCCCAAAGCCCCATCAAAACCAAAGCAAGATGATTTTTTAAAAGATTAAACCACAGAATATGGACAAAAGAAGAGGTGACAGCAACATTCGGCGTTGTATGGCAGGAGGTCAGTGGTGCCTGGCTCTGGAGATGCAGGAAAACCAACAGAGGCCAAAGCTCAGAGCCAGGCAACACAGAGCCGGGTCCTTAAAGGCTCCAGAGCTGGGAGGTGCCAGGGACCTGTGCGACTGGGACTGAAGGCCCCAAACCCCTGGCCTGGGCTCCCCTCCCTGGCCGCACCCCACTGGGGGGCTGCTCCTCTCTGACCCAGCATTCTCTGAATCTAAATATCCTAAAACCACAAGATTTGCCAACAAACAACCCACCTCTATCACCTTTGGTAAAGCTCAAAATCAGTAAGCCAAGCTCCACATTCAGAGAATCCATCTAATAGCTGTTTAACTTGCTGACTTTTTATCATGAACAGGCAGCCGGAAATTTGACATCTGGGGAAGGCCTCTACCATTAAATAGAGAGATGGAAACAGACAAATCAAAACTCAACTTGGAGGAAACAGAAACAGTAGGAAGGAACCTCATCAACACCACAAAAACAAACAAACAACCCACCCACTATCATCAATATCCTACGAGAAAATACTGTACCCAAGAAACAAAAACAAGATACTAGTAAAAAAATTTTTAGAAAACAAAAAGAGCTCTTGGAAATTAAAAATGTAGGGCAAAAATGGAAAAACTAAATAAAGGGCCAAAAGATAAAGTGAAGAAGGTCCTAGAAGAAAAAAGGCAGAATGATGAAAAACAAGAGCGAAAGATAAAATCAGAGAAACAGCCCCAAAATTCAACACATGAATAACAGGAGATCCAGAAAGAGGACACACACACACATGCACATGTGTGCAAGCGCATGCACGCGCGCGCGCGCGCACACACACACACACACACACACACACTTATATTGATGCAAAAATCTTAGTAAAATATTAACAGAATCTACCTACACATCAAAAAATAATGCAACACGATCAAGTGGGGGTCATGTCAGAATGCAAGAGTTGTTTAATATTAGGAAATCCATTAATATAATCCATCATATTAACTGGCTAAGGAAAAAAAAACCACATTTCATTTATGATAAAGATCTCTGGCAACATCCAACAACTATTCAAGTTACAACATTCCAAAAAACAGAGATTGATGGGTACTTCCTTCACATGATATATTACATATACATACACATAAGTATACATACGTGTGTGTGATTATAGCAGCCCAAAAATCAGTATATTATTTTAGAAATACCAGAAGCTATCTCATTAACGAATAATGCCCACTAACTCCACTCCTAGTTAATATTATTTTGGAGGTAATGGCCACTGCAGTTACGTAAAAAAAAAAAAAAAAAGCAATTACAGATGCTAGAAAATGGAAAGGAGAAGATAAAACAATCTTTATTTGCCAATGAAAAAAATTTATATCCAGAAAACCCTAAAGATCAAGGGAAATTTTCATACAAATGATAAGAGCATTTTATAAAGTAGCAGGTTATAAAATTAACACAAGAAATAATGGCCTTAATATATTCAAGAAAAACAAAAAATATAATGAAAGAAAACATTTGTGACAGCAGAAAATCATGTGCCTAAGTGTAAGCATAACAAGAAATCTACCTGAGACAGACACAGTATTGCTAAGATACAAAATAGACTTGAATAGAAAGATATTGGGTTGTCGGAAACGTCATGACGTATTTTTTGTTTTTTGTTGCAAAAATGCATCATGACTTTTCCGACAACCCAATAATACAGCATGTTCTTTGATGGGGAGACTAATGGTCCCCATTAACTTATAAATTTAATACAATCCAAATAAAAATGCTATCAGGCAATTTTCCCCATGAAACTAGAGAAATTGATTATAAAGTTCATCTGGAGGAACAAGTAAGAATGGGTGGGAAAACTAAAAAAGAAAAGAATGGGCAGGGAAGGCCAACCCTGTCAAATATTAAATTATTCTAAAGCCTCAGTAATGAAAACTCAGTGTTGCTGGTGCATGGCATGAAGCGACAGATTGATGCAACACAAAACAAAATCCAGAAATAAACACAAAGGCACAAATTTAGTATACAATAGAGGCAAATTCAAGCACTGGGGTTTTTTTTCATAAATGATGTTGCGATAAAAGGGATAGCCAAAATATCCCAGGATAAATTCCAAGTGGATTACAGATTAAAATGAAAATGGGGGGGGGGAGACCATATAATGTAGAAATGGGGGAAAACACCTCTTAACTATGATTCAAAATCCAGAAACAATAAGGACAAGATAATACATGTGACTGCTTTAAAAAAAAAATCTTTGCCTGGCAAAAGACAAATAATACATAGGGAAAATGTATTTGCAATTTAGGTCCAAAGGGTTAATACCCCAAGGTGCAGAAAGGAATAAACAGGCCCAAGACTGCTCTCCTTAGGAAGGCCTGCTCAAAGCTTTGCTTTTGACGGGCATATGGGACTCAGATTTAGGGAGGGTTCCCACCATTCCCTAAATGATAAGAGTGGCCCACAATGTGCCTAAACCATGCAAACAATACATCTTATGCTGAATACCTGCTTTCCTTGTGGGACTCGGGATTTCGGTAAGTGCTAGGCAGAGGTTGGCATGACCAGCTCCCAGTAAAAACACTGGGCAGAGTCTCCAATGCACTTACCCAACTGGGTGCTGAGCAAACGTCTGTGGGGCTCCACAGAGAGGACTCTGGGAGCTTGCATCTGGTTTCCTCCAGACCTGCCTCCTGCGCCTGTCCCCTTGGGTGCTTTAGCTTTGTACCTGTCCACTATGGTCCTGTCATTGTTCCCAGCAAATCACTGAAGATGTGGGTGTTATGGGGGACCCCAAACACACCCTAGCATACGAAGAGCTTCTAAAAATTAAAGCAGACCAAAAACCCACAGAAAAATGGGCTAGAGAAATGAGGAGACAGAAAACAGGAAGGCAAATGCCTCTTAGCTATATGAAAAGATGCTCGCCTTCCCAAATAATATAAGAAATCCAGATTAAAACTACAATAAGATACCATTTCTTACCTTCTAGATTGGTAAATATAAAAAAACTGGCGGTAGACTGTTGGTGAGTTTGAAGAAGACGCAGGCACTCTCATACATTGCTGGTGAAGACACACACTACTGAGTGGGATCTGACACTGTCTAGCAAAATTAGATATGCATTCACCCTTACACCTAAAAATCCCACTTCTAGAAATATAATCCAGAAATACACCAGAGAAAAAAAAGAAAAAGATGTATGCATTGCACAGGCTATCACTGCAGTCGTTTGATAATAGCAAAATGCTCAAAAAATGATGTGGACATGTCTGAAAAACACCAAAATCAAGCTGAATGGGCTTCTGTTGGCCAAATCTGGAACAATTTAAGCACAAAACAAATAATGACAATAACAGATAATAACCCAGTGAATATAGTAACAATGACATAATGGATTATAATCCTTTGAATAAAATAACCCATGCAGATGACAACTAAATAAATGGGGGCTATAGAAAAGTGCTTTCTTATAGCAAAACGTTAACTAATAAGTGGAGATAATACTAGAGTTTTTCTAAAAGCACATTTTTAGCAACTATCACTAAAGTAATCAATTAGGACAAGAATCACCCAAAGTATACTAAAACAAATGTGTGAAAGATTTAAGGAAGAGCACGGTATTTACATAATCTCAAAATAGCTCTCCAGAAATGACATTAATTACAAAGGGGGAAACCATACAATGAAGAAATATAGTGGACATCACCATATCCAAATAATCCAAGTGAGCCTCATAAAAACGAAGCAAATCACTGTCTTAAACCTTCTGATAAGACAAACTAGTTCTGGGGATCTAATGGACAGCAGTGATTACAGTTAACAACACTGTACTTGAAAGTCACTGAGATTAGATCTTAAATGTTCTCACCACAAGAAAGAAACAGTAATTATGTGTGTTGAATTATGTGTGTCATGATGGAAGTGTTAGCTTTAGCTGACACTATGGTGTAACTGTTTTGCAAATATATAAATGTATCAAATCAACATATTGTATACTTCAAACTAACACAATGTTACATGTCAACTACATCTCAATAAAACTCAGGGGGAGAAAAAGCCTTCTGACTGGATGCACTTAGGAGGACTGATGTCACTTTTGTGACATCCCTGACAAAAATGCATACCCTATATCATAAGGAAACACCAGGCGAGCCTAAAATGAGGGACATTATCCATAACAACTGGCTGCCAAAAATGTCAATGTCTTGAAAGACAGAGAAAGGCTAAGGAACTGGTCCAGTTAAATGAGACTAAAAAGACATGATGACAACCTAACACAACATGTGGTGCTAGATGAGGGAGCAGGGGTGAGAATCTGAAAGACATAAATGGGGTCATCTATGTCAATCCGGACTGCCTTCGAGATAGCACTATTGCGTATTGTCAAATCTTCTCATTTTGATCTTTAGTCTGTTATTATATAAGAGAAGCTCTTTGTTCTCGGAAAATATACATTGAGGTATCTGGGTATAAAACCACACAATATTTGTATGTTACACTTAAACAGTTCAGAAAAATAATAATACAGATATTCAGAGAATGATAAAGCAAATGTTAGTAGTTGGTGAAACTGGATGAATATATTGTTTTTGGTACACATCTTGCAGCTTTTCAGTAGATTAGAAATTTTTGCAAAATAAGTTTAAAAAACACAAAAACCTTCATTAAAAGTTTGGTTACAAGAAATGAGATTAGTATTTGTGGCTATTCTCTGAAAACTGTGCAGCCTAGTAATTCCTTTAAATAAACGAAGCTTTCTCTTTGGATGCGGCGGACCCCTTGGTCCATACTATCCTGGTCCCCAGCACACCTGTGCTCAGCCAGTTGGTCTCAGGGTTTATTAGAGGATGCTAGGCTACCAGGATGAAATGTATTTGCCATAAAACACACAATTTAGTGCACTGTCTACTAAACCATTAGTGTCCACTCTGTATAGTTCAATGTGAATTTTTATTCTAGAATTTAGTACTAGACAAAGCTCTTTCACCACAAAACGGGTCTATTTCTCCCTTCCTGGTGACAGGAATTACATAACTTACGATGGCTCTTATAATTTTGTCAGATAGGAAGACGAAGGTCAAATGTGAGGCCCGACGACAGCAGCCACTGGCCCACACCTTAGGGCCTGTTCTCTTCCTTGGCCCTGGTTGTTTTTATCTGCATGCTACCCCTTTTCATCCTATTTTGAGGTAAAAGTCAATCCAAAAACCATCTGAACTCTCTGGGAACTATAAGAACTACTAATATGCTTTAAGTAAACTGAGGCCCTTCCACGCTACTCCTCTGGCCATTCACTGGACACTGGGACTTCATGGCTGACCAGTCGTTTCCATGACAGAGTATGTCCACGTGAGACCCACGGGGAAGATTCTGTGCCACGGTTTCTAAGTTGACACCAAAGCCTACGGCAGCCTGAAGACACGAACGTGACTTTGGGCCACAAAACGATGACATACTGAAGTTACATCTCCAACAGAGCAAAGGTACACTTATCACGTAGTTCAAAAGGTCACCACATTTTAGATATTTATCGCAAGAATGATGAGTTAGGTCCCCAGCTTACTAATATGAAAGGTGACAAACTCTGCGAGCATTACTGCATCACTACAACCAAGAAATGCTTTGAATTTCAACAGTTGGACAAGACCAGAAATACAAAGGCAAAAATCTCACATGCAGACGTGGGAGTGAAAAATACTTTTACCTGTCGCCTTCACTCTTGACACAACCAGACCTCAGGTGGGCGTGGGGTGAACACTAGGCTTGTGGGAAGAGATGCGTAAGGGAGTCAACAGTTGGGGGTGTTAATGCCAACCCTGCTTTGGGCTTGTATTGGGGGTAGCAAAACGACTTCAATAAAGAGCCACAATACTCCTGGTACAGTGCATACTTCAAAAAGATTAGTACAGAATCAAAGGGGCAGTTTCTGGGGGGTTTTGTTTGTTTGTTTGTTTTTTTGTTTTCCAGCCTGTAACCACTACTGGTGGCTTCAGCCGCAAAAGGAAAAAAGGATCCGTAGGAGATGGACTGCAGCAAACTAAAGAAGACACCCCCACAAGGTTGTCAAGGAAACCAAACCAACTGCCTTTTTCTATAGAAAAGAATCGAGACTGAGGTGAACTGTGCCATGGAATATTTGGAGACAAAAACGGTTACAATCCCGTCTTGAAACATCGTTGAGAGGCTAAATTTACTTCTAGGCTATTTGATGAAGTACTTCCTCTCTTAAAAGCAAGCGGGGCAACCTTGAATTTCCAAAAACTACCGGTTGGGCGGATTCACTGAGCGCTTTCTAAAAATCAGCGAAAGCTCGGACCCCTGCAAGGACAGGAAATTTCCGAAGGTCTTTTTCTGCAACAGCTTAACAACATCCAAAAAAAGCAATCACCCCCAGAAAGTAAAGGGAACATAAAACTATACCATCAACAGGCTTTCCCACATTGAGACTGTCTGTTTTTCAAAATGGAGCCTTTTTTTTTTTTTGGACATTTTTAAGCGAAAAGGCAAGTCTACGCCAACGAGCAAGAGCTTAGCCCGAGTGAGCCATGCAAGGCTGGGCGAGAGCAGAGCGGGCTGCACAAAAAAGGTGTCCGGTCGGTAGATGGATGTCGAATAAAAACCGCCGCAAGTCAGCGGCAAAGAATCATCAGCCAGGAGGCATGACATGCACTTGGGGGCCCCGAACGAGGGCCCGCTGAAAGCACGTTCGGAGGCAGGGCACCGTTAGGCGGGCAGGAGGCAAGCAACGGGCGAGCGTCTGCAGCCGTCCGCCCGAGGGCGGGCCTTCCAGGGAGGCTGCGAGGCCAGGGGGCGCCCGCCCCGCGCGAGGGAGACGGGGGAGGCGAGGGGAGCCGCGGGCGCTCCTGCCTCGACTGTCCCCGGCCAAGGTGAGGGGCCGGTGCGCGCGGCGCAGCCAGCCCCGGAGGAGACGGGCAGGGACCCGGAGCGGGGCGGGAGCAGCTCGGCCTCCAGGTGAGAGAGGGCGGGCCGCGCGGGGCAGGTGCCTGGCGCCGGGGCGGGATCGCGATGGGCGCCAGCGGCTCTTACCCGGTGCCGCAGTCCACCACGCAGGGAGGCAGGGAGCCCGCCATGCTCGGCACGCGCGCCGCTCGGCCCACGCGAGCGGCCCCGGAGGCCCCGCCGCCGTCCGCTCGCCGCGCTCACCCAGCGCAGCCGGCTCCCAGGAGCCTCCGCAGCGCCGCCGCGGGAGCCCGGATGCTCGGCGGCCGCCCACGTGACGCCACTCCGGCGGGCCAATCACGGCGCAGGCACGCCCCCTCTCCCGTCCGCCATCTTTAGTGCTGGCGGCGCGGCCTCGTTGCCCACACGCCCAACCTAGCGGCTGAGGAGACTGGGGGCTATTTTTAACTGACTTACGGGGAACGTGACCCGGTTTCCGAGGCCTGGCTCCTTCTCATCTGTAAGTCCACCTGGCTCCTTCGCATCTTGTAACTCTGGGCTCGAATGTCACTGCGGGGAAGGCGTCCCCTCGCGCCTTCCTCTGCATCTCAGCAATCTATTGATTTCACTCGCAACGCTTGAAGCAAAATTTTTGTATGTATTTATTTGTAGCCTGTCCCCTCAGTGGACTATAGGCTCCCCTAGGTTAGAGCGCGTGTTTGTTTTACCGTTGGTGACCCAGGACTGCACGTGTATGCAGGGTACTTGGCGCATGCATGGAAAGCACCCAGATGTTTGTTGAGTGAATAAACTTCACCATAAAGAGAAAAGATATTCTGTTAGACCTATACCTGGCAGAACACTGCATAATTTGTATACTAGAAGAAAACATGCAAAACAAATGCACGGCCAGTCTTAAGGAATGAAGGACCTCAGATTGAGGTGACACCACGCCAAGATCATTACGTTCGGGAAAACGTTTTCAAGTATCAGAGATGGAATCATCCAGAAGTTCTTCCTGAGACCAGGGACCAGAGTGGTCGAGCGCCTACCATGTTACAAAGGCACTGAAAGCCCCACTTGCTTCCCGCTCTCTGCCCTACCAGGAATTCTTTTTTCCCCCCATCAGTTCTTGACATTCATCTTTAGGAGCTTCCTGGAGATGTCGTTT